CCTGCACCGCTTGGTCGCAAGTGCGCATGCGTAGCGTTGTTGCGTGGCGAGGAGGAAAGTGGTTGTTGAAGGCGGAGACGCTTGGAGACCATGAACGCTTCTGTTAGCCACCTCCTCCTCGCGGCCCATAAACCGCGTGACCCCTATCGTGCAGTTGAAAGCACTCTGTAATCTAGGCACACTAGGGAGATGCATTTTGATAGGAAACCGAAACTTCAAAATTCGTCCAAACTAAGGATTTTTTTTTTTAGGGGGGGGGGGGGGGCGTTTTAAAATACTCCGCGTGCCATATACAGTCCCGCCAAAATATTAACAGTTTTTTTTTATTGCAAAAATGAACTGTGCATCATTGAACACACATTCTCCGCCCAAATGTAGCACTAGGTGTCCCGACCAGATGCCAAAGTTGTAGAACAAACCGTTTCTTAAATTAGGGGTTTCCCCAGAAACTGAAATTAGGGAAGGGGGGTGTAAATTTTTTTTTTTTTTTGTGGGGGGGGGGGGGGGGGGGGCCCTCAACCCCCCATTGAGGAAAGAGGAGTTGCGAATTAAGGGTTTCCTTCAAAAAAGCAAGGGGGTGTACACCCGCCCCCAGAGGGTGTGTTGGGAAATCACTGACTTCAGTCGAAAGTTATTGGTAATTTTATGAAACTTGCAATGGGAAAATGACGGCCAATGGACCTTCTATATAAATGCAGCTCAATGGTCCCACATACCGAAAAGAGGCGAAAAGTGGCCCCACTTTCCTATTGAAATTTTCAGAAAATCACCTATAGCTTTTGACAGAGGTAACAGTTCGTTTTGAAACTTTGGCATCTGGTTTGAACCGCTAGGCCTACATTTGGCCAGACGATGAGCGTTCAATCTTGCATAATTTCATATTTTCAGTAAAAAAAAAAAAAATTGGGGAGACATTTTGCATATTTGTAAAGTGAACTGATGTAGTGGTTTTCACAGATGCCTCTGAAGCTTGTACTTTAGCCAGACTGACTGAAAAAAATTGAAACTCCAACCAAGTTTGAATCAAAACAAGGTACCCTATGTTTTGGGATCGGCTCGCTCCCTTGGTCACAGGTGACTATGGGTTTGGCGAATCTTCTCAGGGGCGGATCCAAGGGGGGGGGGGGCGACGGGGGCAGCCACCCCCCCCCCCCAAACAAAGTCGACCCCCCTCTCCCCCCTTCTCGGAGGGCAATTTGACATGGGTGGACCCCCCGGTGCACACTCTGCCCCTGAATCATCTTTGTCGTCTTCATCTATGAATCTTCATCATATATGGGATCGAGCTGGTCTCGAAACATAGGGTATCTTGTTTTTATTCAAACTTTGCCAGAGTTTCGATTTTTTCAGCCAGTCTATTTATTTCCTAACAGACAGATCTCTGTTTACTGAAGCCATGCCTTTATATTTACTAAATAAAATGTTAATTATTCGAAAGGAATTAGGAACCTGATTATACAGTCGAATCTCGTTAATTCAAGCTCGAAGGGGACCGAAAATTTGTTTGAATAAAGCAAAGTTTGGATTATCGGAAGTTTCCTCCCATAGAGACACGTAGGATGGGACCTGCGTGTTAGTTTGAATTTTCTGCAAGTTTGAATTATGAGAGTTTGAATTAACGAGATTCGACTGTAGTAAAGTTGTTTTTGTGCGATGCATACGTTTTGCAGGAGCGATTGAACCCGCATTTCGAGAAACACCCTGAATATATTCATAATGAAAAAAAGGCTTTTCAGCATTTCAGAGATATCTAGATTGTTAAGAAATATTGTTTAGCTCAAACGGAAGAGGTTCCCCAAATATTTTCGAGATATTGTTAAAAAAAAAACAATTCTATGTTTTTTTTTGTTTTTTTTTTTTTTCAGAAGTCTTTTAAGATTTAATAAATTCCTGAATTCTGTACGGAAAGGAACGGGATCAAACCTCTGAACCTTGACAGGTGAAGAAATGTCATCTTCTGCCTTAGCCACTTCTAGTATCTAATAATTTGGAAATTAAAAATATGCATAATTTTCTATTTGCACCTTCTTCCCTTTAAAAGATAACAGAAAAAAAAAAAGTTTGTCAAAATTGAAATTTGATTTTAAAACCGTGCCTGATTTTAAATGCACTTGAGGCAGCTCTATATAAATAAACAAATGATTAAGTAAAAAAATTTATTAAAAAAAGTGTTTGATAATGTTAAATATATTGTTCAATGCATTTATCATAGTGTCTAGAGTGCCTTCCCACAGCGCTCTTGCGTAACACTCAAGTGCCGTCCTACCGAGCAAATGGCGTCCTTTAGTGAAGAATGTCTTGCTTTTGGCACTTTGTGACCGCAATTAGTATGCCTAGTTCCACTGTACTTTTTTTTTAGACCTACTAAGTTATGTGCACACTCAGATTCCAAAAAACTTTCTTCATAGCAAATAATATCTGAAAACCAAAGAATAACGTCTGAGACTCGTTTCAATAGCGTAATGGTTAGCATGCCTGGTTAGTCTCTATGGTCTCACAAATATTAGTTCAAAAAGCATGTCCTAAAAAAAAATTTTTTTTTTGTATTTTGTTGAAGTTGTTGTTGCCACTGCAGAATGTGAGATGTGAACTAAAATATATTTTAAATCAGGATCGCAACATTTGAGAGAGTGTCACGCCACTTCGACAAACTTGAGAAGAATGCGCACCTGCGTTGCGCAGGCATGGACATACATAAGAAAGCATGCTGCTCCCTCCTGTAGCAGTTGTCTCGCTCGCGCTATATGTGAAAACAAATTGTCGACAAGCGACTAAGAGAACTATGGCAGAATAAGCGTGACTCGGACGGCACTTGAAGGCAGGCGCGAGTGGAGTGCCGCAATGTATATTTGTTTTTTAGAAATTAAAAATATATAATTTTTTAGTAATATGGAAAACTATTTGTTTACAAACCAGAAAAATATTTCTGTGGAAAGAGATTTGATAATTTATAATAGAGAAATATCGGGTCACATGACATTTCTCTTTCTTTTTCCAACCAACTGCCTTGCACTCTAAAAAAAACGAAGCGAAAAAAAGATTTGCGAGTGAGGGCGCTGAAGCAGCTACCGAAAGCGGACGAGATTTGAACGGCCTTCTGTTGTCTTTTTTGAGCACGACTCTTTACCCTCCCGCGGCTGGTAGTGGCACAGGCGTCAGCCAAATGGGGATCGTCGTTAGCCGGCTTGTGCGCCCTACCACTTTGGCAGTCCGTTAGCCTCTCTGCTAATTATGATAATCGTGCAAATGATCGAGCTTGCCCACGGGTGTGTTGCTAAGAGTTGCGTTGGAAGCAGTGACAAGCAAAAATGTGTGTGACGATCTGTGTGACTTTAATCGCTAAAAACCCATTAAAATCTAACGAAAAAAGAAATTAAATGAAGTAGTGTTTTTTTGTTTAAGAATACTTTTTGCTTGCTAATGAATTCTGCCAATGCCGCACGGTGTTGGCAGCCTGCCTTGGATAGGTGCCACAAACTAAAGTCACTGGATTCAGGGAAAGTACTCCATTGTGTTCCCTGCCTGCTAGCCAGGCACAGATAGGTACTAACTTACAGACTATTGAAACCTCTCAAAGCGGTTGGCTGTTCGGTTTCTGTGGCCGCGGCAATTGTCATTTCGGTCTTACGAAATCTTCAAAGCTTTGAAAGGGTCGTTCTGGACCAGTTGTGCCAAGGACGCCATAGACCATCATCATACTGAAAACGTTCCTCGCCAATAGTCTTTGGAACCGCCCAAGCAGCACAGATTTGGCCAGTCATTGGCCAATGGTTGGTTATGGTCCTTTGGCCAGTGGCCAGGCAGTGGCCAGCATTGGCCATTGACTGGCCTTTCTCTGGCCGGTGGCCACTGGCCATCAGCCATTGGCCAAACATATGCCGATGGATGGTCACTCTTTGACCACTGGCCAAAAAGCCATTGCCAGCCATTGGCCGATTGGCCAAATTTGTGCTGCTTGGGCATATATCCAATCAACTGATCAAACATGCATATCTACTCAGATCTCTTATAATGATATTGTCCTTGCATATTTCAAGGGAGGAATATAATTTTTCAATGCCGCCAAGCACCTATGCCACATCTGGTGGCAGTACAAACATGTGCTCTTGTTTTGCTGGGGTGTAGATAACAAAATCTAAATATACAAGAAATGTCATTGTAAAGCAAAATACGTCACCGGGAATTTGGATCAGCTCAGCAAGAGTGTAAAGATCAAAGAGGACTGCTCATTCCATGAACCGAAACAGTGACCACACAGGGAGCTTGGCACTTTCCTTGGAACTGTGACTTTAGTGCAAACTATTGCCTGATTCAAGGGGCAGTAGTTACCATCTAACATCTCTCCATTTAGCTCTGCCCTGTGCCCGTACGGGGCTCATATGACGTGCAACTAGAAAACTCTAAGCTTTCACTTTAGGTTTATGCATCAAGTGTAGCTTTCTTTATTTGTTCATAATGTGTTCTGAAAACGTTACAGAATGTTTGAACAGATATCGCTTTTGTTGGCCTTTGCTTGTGCATAGTGATGCTGCGTGCATAATCAGAATTCATAATGGGTTCAGAGATATAAGTTTGAGGCTAAATGGAAGCTTCCTTGCATTCACCTTGAGTTGAACGATATAACTCTCATAAGGTCCTGCAAATCAGTTGGCCAGTGGCGTATAGCCGACATACCTACAGCCAGAGAACGCTTATGTTTTTATGGAAGTACCCTTGGTCCTGTAATTTGGAAAATGCTCCCTTCTGGTTTCTGCACCAGACCCGCCTTGCTCCTCCTACTTTTACAACACGATCATGAACAATTAACTTCCCTTTGCCAGTTTAGTTTTTGGTTGTTCTTTGCACTCCGTCATGGCTTCTTGCACGGGGTTTTTGGTTGTTCTTTGTACTCCGTCGTGACTTTTTGCACGTGGGATACTGTAGAATTGGTTGGCTTACGGGAGCCTCTTTCACACACGTGGAATGTTCTCTGATGTGCCATGTCTCATTTCCATTTTTAGGACACGAGGACGCACGTGGTGGGGGAGTTGTACGACACCGAGAAGTCATACGTGGAGTCGCTCCAGATCCTGGTCAATGTGAGTGCACGCTTTCACGCTTCGCTCACATCAAGAACCAAAATCTCTATTAGCTGTACGTCTTCAAGCGATAACTGGGCTAGACTATTTTAACTGGGCTAGAATTAGCATTCTGCTTTTGTACCATAGTATTGAAATGTGGCATGCTCTTGTCTATAAATTGCCCAGGACATTTCCCTGCATAATGTGTCAGCTCCACATACTGCAGGAACATAATATATAGCTGGTATTTACTGCTCAGTGTGTGCTTGCAATGAGCTTCCACAATGCTTCAGCAATGTGCATTGCACACTACCAATATTGGAATTCTTCTCGGAAGATAAGTGGGTTTCGTTCTGAATCTGCACTGTGAACACTGTGCTCAGTTATGGTGCCCAGTGGATACCACCTGTAATAAGCACACTGCAAAAGGACAATGACTAGTAGGACGTGAGGAAAGGGTAAGTTCTAATAGTAACTTGTCGGAAAAAGAATTCAAATGCTGTTTTGTTGAGCATCTTTCAGATAAGAGAGGTGTCAAATTGAATACATTTTTTTCTATGGTAGGGAACACTTGGCTAAAGGCACTGGAGTTCCCCATGTGAGAACTTGTAAGGGAAAGAATTCAGTTAGATGCAAACTGGCAACCAGCTTGAGATTAATCTTAATATATTTTTTCTAGGGCTGGGCACCTGTTTGATTAACCTAGCTACCAATTAATGAATCAATTTTTTAATTGCAATTAGTTTTTTAAAATTGTTAATCAATTAAATTTTGACATACAAGAAAAATTGAAAATTGAATGACTTCACTATGCAGACAAGGACACCTTATGAAAGGAAGCTTTAGATGAAATTTTGACTTAAGTAAGCTGTAAGGGCATGATTTGTAACGTCATACAAGGTGGAGAAGGTTACAGGTGTCCCAGCCTCTTCAACGCCGTGCGAGTGTACATTCAGCGCAGCAGAGCCTATTGTCAACAATCAAAGGAGTTAGCTATTAATAAAGAATATCAATGAAGCTCTTTCCTTCTGTAGCTGGAGTAATAATTTTTGAGTATGGCTTTTGACTATTTTCAGCTACACATGAAAGATGATTTAAAATTCTAAATTGTACATTGCACCATTTATTACACATGGGAGGGTCAACGTTTGAACCATTCCCCCAAATTGATTCAAACTTTCAGGGTGAATTGAACCCCATTAGGATGGATGACATCTAAAGTTTCAGTCTTGTAAGCTAATTCTACAACATACTATGCTTAACAAGCTCCAGAAAAAAGTTACTTTATTAGGAAATGTATTAAAAAATAATTGCTATCCACAAAATGTTTGGTTTAATGTGAAGTTGAATACCCATAGTGCAAGTTAAGGTAAAAATTAATTGTAGAAAATGCAGTTCTAGAAAAAAACAATAACACCCAAAAAGAGCAAAAGATTTTAACACATTTCTGTGTTTTAAAATATTCAGTTTTTGTCGTGAAGAATTTAGGTTTTTCAGGTTATGAGTACCTTAACTTGTTCCTCAAGAAATTTCAGTCCAGTACACCACTGAATGAAATCTTTACACTTTCAAAATGTCAAATGATACATTTCCTCATACCAGATCTCCTGCCGGAAAGTGAAACTGAGAAAATTACATTTGAAGTTTCAACTTTAGGTTTCTTTCTTTTCTTTGAGTTTGAGGGAGGCAAAATTCACCTGGAGCATTGTTAGCATTTTCCTCTCTGAGACTTCATTGTTCCCCTGGCAATAGCTACTAGTTTGTGTCATTTGTAGGCTAGCTAACTTTTGTAGCAGGCATTCCTTGACAGATAAACTGGCAAGAGCTAAGAGGCTAATCGTACTAAGGAAGAGCAGCGAAGCAGGAAAGTGGTCTGAAGTGGAAGATACTCTGAAAGGGTGTTACTGAAGATGGCACAATATCACGTCACTGGGCAGGACCGATCATAAACCCTGTTTTGGGTCTCGACCAGTAAGATTGCTTATACCAAACTTTTCTGGATTTTTTCTGTTTGGATGCTGCTTGGCCATTGATACTTTTAAACTTGTAAAGCTTCTACGGACTAAAGTTAGAGTAAATGGTGCTTCCAATGCGGGTAAGATGTTCTGGCTATGTTAAATGAGTATGAAGCAGTGCTAAATAAAAAACGCAAAAACCTTGCTTCCTGCTGACTTGGAGGGCTGTTGACATGTGGAAAATAATTTATTCTGAGATAAGTCCTGCATGTATAGAAACGAAAGTTTCTGAAACCATTTTTTGGAAACTAATCAACATAAACATCATTTTTGAAAGTACATTTTTTTTTTTTTAAATTTTAGTTCTGAGGTTATACCTCCGCTTAAAACTATTATGCATGGGGATGAACGAAACTGATTAATCCATTAGTTAATCAATTAAAAAGGTAGCAATTAATCGGGTTAAAATTTTTGATCGACTCCCAGCCTTGGTTTTCGCTTTCTAAAGGGCACTTCGTCACAGATATTTCATTTTCCTATATGGCAGGGAATTCAGATGTCTTTGAGCACCTTGTCGTGCCACATGCCCCTGTCATATTTCATTTGAGTTCTTCAAGTGACAAAGAAAAGGTATGTGTGAGTTGAGTTATTTATAGGAGTTGAGATTATGGGAGTTGTGCGAGTTGAGATATGGGCATGGGAGTTGAGTGAAATCTGTAAGTTGGGTGTATGTGTTAGTTGAGTTTTGGTTGGTTGAGATATCTGCGAGTTGAGTGGTATGCGTGAGTAGGGAGTAGTGTGTGTAAGTTGTGTGAGTTGAGGTATGTGTGAGTTAAGTGATCTCTACGTAGGGAGTATATGTCTGTTATGTGAGTTGAGGTGAGACTGTTTTTGTTCCTGTCGTCGTCTTCCAAAGTGTTTTTGTCCCGTCATCGTCGTCTTCCACGTGCTGTATCGTTCTGTGAAGAACGACAAATAAAGCAGTCCGTACACTTGGATGGGATTAGATCAACTGCCGTCGTCGTCTTTATTGCTGTTGCTCGTGCATCGTTCATACCGATACATCCTTTTTTCTCCAGCTTTTTTTTTTTTTTTTAATGAGGATACAAAGAAACAAACAAAAACATTAGAGAGGGAAGAACGGAAGGAAACAGAAAACAAAAGAAAAGTGAAAAAAAAAACTACGCAATCTGCTGAAATGTTTCATCATAGCTTAGTCTACGTGGAGGTCGTCTTGTTCTGCGTGACGTGCCTGAGGTGCGCCCATTGAGCCTTTGAGTTTGCTGGACGTACTCATGCGGCGTCCGAGCTTCGTGCTCATCTGTATTGTCTGGTCGAGGTGATTCCGATAGTCCCTCATCTTCCACTTCTGAGTCTTCGTCATGGTCATCGTCATTTGTTCCTTGAACGTATTTTTCACATGTTTTCAAGAGATGTAGCCTGTTGCGGCGGAACGTCCTGCCATCTTCTGTGATGACGCTGTATGACCTTGGGGCTACGTATGATTGCACCCTGGCTTTTGTGACCCATTTTTCGTTATTTAGAATCCGCACAGTGTCTCCTGGCTGCAACCATCCTAGATGTCGTCCTTTTTGAAGGTTCTGTGCATGTTTTTGTACAGGCGGTGCTGGTTCACTGGAGAAGTCTGGCACAAGTGTTCGAATTCCGCAACCCATAAGAAGCTCTGATGGTGAACGGCCGTCCTCCAGCGGAGCCGTGCGGTAGCTGAGAAGACCCAGCCAGAAATCCTCCCTGGTAGCCTGCGCCTTTTGGAGCAGCCGCTTGACCACCTGGACGCCCTTCTCCGCTAGGCCGTTGGAACGGGGATACCGAGGGCTTGACACTAGGATTGGTTTTCCCGCTTCCAAACAGTTGATTGCTTCTTGCAGGACCGGATCATTTGATGTGGCGGTCTTTAAGCTGCCCATAGTCCGGGTGCCTACCAGTGTTGAAGGCACCGCATTTGCATGTATCTCAACGTCGGTGGAGCTTTCTTCGAGTTGTGACTCGCAAGAGATGCGAGAAAGTGTGTCCGCGATCACCAGCTTCTTTCCCGGGACAAACCAGTCTGAAGGTTCTTGCGCTTTCACGATGACACCGGCTTCCTCCATTCGATCCAGCTCTGCCTTGAGAGGCGCTCTGAGTGCGTGCGGTACCCTACGAGCTGGTTGTACCACCGGGGTAGAGTTTTCACGGAGAACCATTTTGTATGGTCTCTTTGCGCATCCTAGACCACGAAAGAGAGATGGAAACTCGCTTTCTACTTTCCGACGCAGTTGGTCTTCGTGCCCCACAGTGTTGACCCTGTTGATGAGGTCAAAGTACTCGCACGCCTTCAGGCCCATAATGGCCTGCCGTCCTTTCTTGAAAACGAAGAGATCCATAAGTCCTTGCTTGTTTCCGATGGACACGGACAACCGGACCTTTCCCAGATGTTGGATGAGTCCACCGCAAAAGCTGCGTAGAATTGCAGCCGTTGGTTTAGACTGTTGTTTGGCTCTAATCTTCAGAAACAATGTGCGCGGAAGTAGGTTAGCCTGAGCACCGGTGTCTACCTTGAGCTCCACTTTTTTTCCTTCTATCAACGTGGTGATTGTCCAGTCATGGCTGCCTTCGGGCCGCGAGCTGCTGGCTGTTCGAATTTCGAGGGCATCAAATTCGCTGTCTCCCTCACTGGCTTCTTCGACCTCGTGGATACCAGTTGGCTTGGTCTTACAGCATGCTGCAAAATGGTTCCTTTTTGCGCACTTCGAGCACGTCTTCCCATAAGCTGGGCACTGTCAAGGATGGTGAACATAGTTGCAAAAACCACACTTCCTCTTACCACCGAGCCTTCCCCCGACCTTACTTCCGTGCTTGTTTCTCTCAACGTGTTTCACCTCCAGCGTTGCTTCCCTCTTCTCCCTGACAGGTGTTGCGGCACTCATGCTTTACTGTGCATATCGGCTATTTCTTCAGCCTTGCAACATTCGACTGCCATTTCCAAGGTTAAATCCTTCTTTCGCAGGAGTTTCTCTCGCAGCTTTCTACTTGACGTTCCATAAACAATCTGGTCACGCAGCATTGACTCCGTTAGTTCGCCGAATCCGCAAGTCCTCGCCTTCAGCTGTATGTCACGGTAGAACTGTTCAAATGGCTCTTCTTCCTCTTGTTGGCGCGTCCGAAATACGTAACGCTCAAAGGTTTCATTACATCTCGGGAGGCAGTACTCTTCAAATCTTCTTACCAGACTGTCGTAATTTGTGGCTTCCTCGGGTGGTAGTCCAAATGTATTGAAGACATCAATAGCCTCCTGCCCCGCGATATGCAAGAAGATAGCGGCCTTTTGCTGCTGAGTCCGAGGCTTGATGGGTTCCGTGGCCAACAGAAAGAGCTCCATTCTCTGCCTGAACTTCCTCCAGTTTTCAGCGGCATGCTCTCCCAACCTCAGCGTTTCTGGCGGCGGAAGATCAGTCATGATGTGCAGTGATTAACACTCCACTTCTGACACCATGTATCGTTCTGTTAAGAACGACAAATAAAGCAGTCCATACACTTGGATGGGATTAGATCAACTGCCGTCATCGTCGTCTTTATTGCTGTTGCTCGTGCATCGTTCATACCGATACACATGCCTGGTGTCATATTTTTCAAAGTGCCTGGTGTCTGAAGGATAGGCACGAGTAATATACGAGAGTGGGAGCATGTGTGAATTGTGTGAGTTGAGATATAAGATATGTGTGAGTTGTGTGAGTTGAGATAAGACATCCCAGGAAAAAATCAGTCCACTTCCAGCTGGATTATGGAACTGGAAATGAGGCAGTGCAGCTGGATTCCAGCTGGGTCCAGCCAGGTCCAGCTGGAATCCATGTGGACTGCATCATTTCCAGTTTCAGAATGCAGCTGGAAGTGGACTGATTTTCGCCTGGGATGTGTGACTTGAGAGTGTGCTTAAGTTGTGCAAGTTGCAAAAGTTGAGTTTGCTTGCATTTCGGCGTTGCGCAGAAGTACATGCGTCCGCTCAAGAGTCCGGACTCTGCGGGCACCGTGGAGGGGACGCTGGTGGACGAGATCTTCTACATGATCCCTGAGATCCTGTCCCATCACGAATCATTCCTGGACGTGCTCCAGCAGAGGCTCGCCTGCTGGGACACTCGCCAGAAAGTGGGCGACATCTTCGTTGAATCGGTACGCTGCTCTGCTCCGTGGCTTGGGCAGCAGGGTTGGCACAGTGCGTATGCTACAGGGTCGACTGCATTTCGGTGGGGACTGGACTCCCATAACTTAAGCCATCCCCCTGGGGAATTGTTGTATAGTATGTGGTGATCATAATTTCTTTCCCTGGCCGATTAACAGAAATCTTGTCTTCAAAATTATGACAGAAACACAGAAGTTGTGGTGTTACATATGCGAACCCATTTAATTTTCTTTTTTTTTTTGTTAAAGTTTTGTGTATGTCATTGACGCTGCCAGTCTTTTTAAAATTTCTGTACCATGCTTTGATGCTTTTAACCTCTGGCATATCTCGTCCTAACGCCTTCGTGAACTGTCATTGAACTGTAAACGGCTTTTGTGATACAACAAAATACACTGCAATTTCTGCTTCGTCGATGACATATTGATGAATGGATGGATAAATGCATAGTGGCGGTTACTTTTGAATAGAGTGGAGACTTGCTGGAGCCAAATAGTATTCTTAGCTCCAGATTAAATGGCATTTAATCCAATGTAATCAAATTTTACCCTTATTCGTCCCTTGATTTTAGCCACCATTCCTCTACTCTTCTTTTGCTGAAGTTGAGTTTTTCAAAATGTATGGTTTTCACCGTTTTCATCAGCAATGAGAACACATGTTATCGCAATGCCACCTGCAACAGAGCAAAACAAAAAATCTTGCTTGAAGTGAGGCGCCAAAACAACGAGGACACAAGGAGAGAAGCAGACAGGAGGAGGCGCACTTTTAACTGAACTTTATTTTAGAAAAGCACAGAAAAGCAAGCTATGCCCAATGTACACGTGCGCATGGGTAAGAAATAAAGATAGAACGAAGCCTACCGCGTTTTCCTACGTGACACGTTCATTTTGAAGGAGCGTATACTCCCTATCAGATAGAGATAAAGATGGGGTGCTGACACAGACATCGGTGCCACGAGATTTAATGGTGAAGGCCTCCAAGATTTCGCGAGCGATTTTTGTTGCGCCGCTTCCAACAATTCTTGTTTCGTCAAACTTTGGGTCACACTCGCATCGATCACAGTGTACTGCCAAGTGGCCAGACACAACAAAAATCGCTCGCGAAATCTTGGAGGCCTTCACCATTAAATCTCGTGGCACCGATGTCTGTGTCAGCGCCCCATCTTTATCTCTATCTGATAGGGAGTATACGTTCCTTCAAAATGAACGTGTCGCGTAGGAAAACGCGCTAGGCTTCGTTCTATCTTTATTTCTTACCCATGCGCACGTGTACATTGGGCATAGCTTGCTTTTCTGTGTTTTTCTAAAATAAAGTTCAGTTGAAAGTGCGCCTCGTCCTGTCTGCTTCTCTCCTTGTGTCGTCGTTGTTTTGGCGCCTCACTTCAAGCATGTACAACCAACTAGCCCAACTCGCCATTCTAAAAAAAATCTTGGATGAGTTGGGCTATGTAACGCCACAACTTCCGCGTTTCTATGTGTCATGGTCTTGAAGATAAGATTTCTCTTAGTCAGGGAAAACTTTTAGGTTCACCCTGCACTTGGGGACAACTTTCTGCGGCAATGCAGGTTGATTGACACCTTCTGTGTGCACACTGTGCGAACACTGTTAACGTAAACGCAACCTTGGCCTTCTCTTAGTCTACTTGGAACAGCGTGCATACTAAAGTTTGCCCCTAATTTCAGTGCCATAAGTGTGGGCTTTCTACCGCACTTACGGTTTAGGCCGCAGTCACACTGGCAAGCGTCATACAAAAGACATTCTGCAGACGGCGTGTTTCTCCCTTGAATGTCTGTCACATTGGTCATGCAAAAACTGTCTCCGGACATGCTTGAAGCATTGAACTGTATGAAGCAGACATGCTTAGCTTCAGGCATGTCTGCAGTTGCTACTGTCATAGTGTCTGCAACGAGCTTCGTGTCTTTTGTACGATGTATGGGACTGTGGCTTTAGGCAATTGCTTGTTTGTGCCAACGTCGTCGCTATACATATCTCTGAGGGATCAGAAGCTCCGGGTGAAACTCTACTCACGGTAGGATGATCTGGAGGCCGCGATCATCAGACGCGTGCAGCGAACCTGAAACAACTTCCCGTAGAGGGAATAAAGACATTTTCTCATTTGATATCTAGTATATTTCTTTTTTGATGCAGTCCATGGCTATAACAAAATAGTGGATATGGCAAAATTCTTTCTACCTCTTGCCGACTTCCTTTATAATCAGGCTAGACTTGTACTAAGGTAGAGACAGAAGTGAATTTTTTAGGGTACTGAGCAGAAATAGAACAGGGGTTTTTGTTAAGGCTCTCCCAGGGACTGGGGAATGCAAACTTGTGAGTCGTGTAAGTATCAGCAATGTTGTTCCTTCTTGCGAGCATTTTTGCCGAGGCCTCAGTTGCACTTCTGGGGCTGGTTGCAGTTCACCAAGCAACCTGTGATAGACACCTACACCGCCTTCATCAACAATTGGAAGTCCGCCAAGGAAGCCATCAAGATGGCGACACATGCAAAGCCATCCTTTGCCAAGTTTCTAGAGGTGAGGTTCATTCTCCAAGCATGTGTTGGTCTTGCGATTAAAGGCGCAGTGCAACAGTATTCATTTGGAATGTTTTCCGCTTTACACAAGCTTGCTGGCACTAGTAGGATTCGAGTAGACTTACATGTATGCAATGCCACCTAGAATTGTCTTCTTTTTTTTTTTGCGATGTAATTTCAGGGATAAAAGCAAGCGTTTTCTTTCAATCTCTCCAAACTTGATGATGTTGCTTGGAGGTTGCAGAGTTGGCATAGTCTTTCGAGTGACAATATTTGAATGCGGCTTGTAGATTGGACCTAATCATTTCAGTAATATTGCTTTCAGTTATTCAGTTCAGTTATAGTTGCTCTTGTCCTCTCACCGCAGTGACGACAATAGCTGAACCCTGACAATGCCCGGAAATCAGTGTGTGTGTTGTGCCTTTGTCAAGCCCAGTGCATGGCTGTGATAAACAATGGTGGCATATATAATTAGCTCCATATCATGTGGGTGCTTGTTCTAGCTATGAGTTGAGGGTGTTAATTCACTGCTTCTTTTTTTTTTTTCTTGTTTTCTGCAACTAACATTGGGTTGGGAGAAAAATGAATGCGTGTTTCATAGGTTATAAACATCAGGGATTCATTCTAAGCGGCACTTGGGCTAAGTACAACATTTCTGGCACCGCCCCATAGGTTTGGCCAGGATGTCTAGAAATGATTCTTTTTTTGTTCAACACAAACAATGTGCAACTTTTTACCACAGTGTGCAAAGAAGGGACAGCAATAGCTGTTACTGCACATATTAACAGCCACTTTTAAGCAATTTACTCTGCTTGAGCAAACACAACACAACATTCTTGTCACTGAAGTATGTAGGAAAGAGAGCACACCGTTCACATGAGTCAATGTCCCTGCCAAAGACTAAATCGAGACAGGTACCATTACGAGTTCTACTATGAGTAACATCTAGCGGCTTGCCCCACCAACCGTAGAAGACATTGCCGCCATCAAGAGCAATGTGCGCACACTTTGCCTGACGTCATATGGCGGTGCACGTGGGAGCGCATATTAAAAGGAGTTTTCTGCCTGGCACAATTCCGCCGCCGCGAATGCAGCGGGGAAGTTGCTATAACAACTATCACTGTTGAAACAATATTACTTATAATGACTTTTTATTTCTTTCTGACTTGAAACGGGCATGTTTTAAATTTTCCTGCAGCATACTTCGAGAGAGCACAAGGGCAAGTTGGCCCTGGACGCTCTTCTCATCATGCCTGTGCAGAGGATACCACGCTACGAACTGCTTATCAAGGTTAGTGGGGGCCCCTGGAATGCTTCTTTTTGCCCGAAAACTTTTGACATGAGTGCTTATATATACTCTCAACTTGTTATGCTCATTTGCAGACAAATTTGATCCACACATTAGTATGATTTATCCATGCCCCTGATTCTAAACCTTATACCAGGATTTAATGTTCTTATTAGAAAACAGTGCACAAAAACAGAGACAAAAGAAGGCATGTCACAATAGACGAGCGTGAGAACTTGTCTGTCGTTACATGTGTCTTTTGTCCCTATTTTTTCTGCGTTTTCTTGTATAATGAATTAGTGCCAACTGGTACAGTTTTTAACACTTCTGTGGTTAATGCACTTGTATGATTAGGGATTGCCCTTTTGCCTACCTGATCTTACTTATTTATCAAAGTGCACTATGGGCTGGATATGTCTATTAATTCACATGTATGGATTCAATATGTGGCCTTTATATGCTTACAGAGGTTACAGACTTCAACATGCATGTGGCCGTAAATAGGAAGAAAATGAAAGCATAGTGTGCATGCAGACATATACTGGCTCTTTTGTCTGTGCAGGTCAGAACAGGCATGGAAGCCAGTACAATCTTTCATGTCTTGATGGTATTTTACCTGTCAAGATCTTGTTTGTTTTTTGTTTTTTGTGCTCTACCATATTTGACAGGGCATTAGAGAAATGGGCTCCATCCTGATAAGGATTACATCTACACGGTTGCATCCTGATCAGATGGAATCTCAAGGAGCCAGAGGGACAGCCAACGTTACTAAACCACTCAGTTGGAAAACTGCCATAGAGACTGCTCTGAAAAAGTGGCCCTGATCTGTCCTCGAGCACCGAGCTAATGGCGAACACAACGCCGCCATTTCTCCCTCAGCAGCCACTTGAGGAACTGCATGTGATGTCTATTTTGGCTTTAATCGGCCATTTTGGCGCTGAAACAGATACAGCGGGAGAGGTTACAGGGGTGCCACCCCCATCTCCCCAGCAGACGCGCCGCGTCTTACTACCAAAGTTAAAGTGCACCTAGGTCAGGACGCACTACATGAAAGCAGTGCTGAAACACGGTTGTATAAAAACAATATTAATTGTGCCGCAAAACCTTGCAAACTTCAAGAGTTTAGAAACATCACGCGCCCTTCATTTTGTACTAAACTCCGATAAATTTCATACGAAAAGAATCTTTTCCATTTGTTTTTATGCAAAAACATGCTTTCTAAAAGCTCAAGCTGACCACAGTACAGACAAATGATAGAGTGGTGCTGTTGTCATATTTATCTCGGTTTGGTGGACGCAAGCAACCCAGGTTTCGATGGCGAGCTTCCCAACTGAGTGTTTTAGTAGCGTTGGTGACAGCCAACGTTTCACAAAGAATTTGACTTGGCTTCGTCAGGCACTGAAGAAGCTAAGCCAGTTAGTGAAACATGGTTGCCCCTCTCCTTCATGGAACTCTTCTTGTTCAAATGCTTTTCAGCATCTTATGCTTTTTTGTGTTTTTTGTCTAAACTGGAAAATTTTTCTTGGGGTGTCAGTATTTCCTTTATTCAGATGAGAACAACACAAGTAGAGGATGGTTTCTACCAAACAAGTCGGCAAACTTTGATTTTGTAGTAAAACCAGAAGCTGGGGCAGTGCGTGAGACAGAAACTCCCAAGTGTTTCAACTCGCTCATTTCTTGTTTCGTTTTGCATTTATTTAGTCTCGGGTGTTTTTATGAAATGAGTCGCGAGAGCAAAACAAATGAAATTTTATTTCTCACAATTTTGGAAGTGTTAAGGCTGGTTCACACACTTGCGTCGTTGGTTTTCCAGCGCTTGTTTATAAAAAAAACTGACAGATGTTTTTCAGTGTTTATTACTTTTTCGTATATTGGAGCATCTTGGGGATCTGTTTCAGAGGGACGCTAAGCACAATGATTATCGGTGAAAGAGTATAAAAAAAAAACTGGTGTCTCGGTCTAAAGATGCGTTCACGTTGGCGTTTGAATCGCAATCGCGAAGCAGATCTGCTCATTCTCATCATTAAATGCACATGAAATTATGTATGTTTAAGCAACTGCGTTCGCAACCGCCTTGAAAACGCGGTCCAACAGCCAGTGTGAATACGGCGTAATAGGGGAGGGTTTCAACACAAGCAATCCTAGCTGGAGCAAAGATTTTAAGAAATCTGTTTTTTGGTTTTAACTGATTTTGTTTTTTTGACATTGACCGTTGTGGATGGGTGCTTTTCCCGATTTTGTATATTTGGCACCGACGAATGTTTATTCGTGTTTTTCAGTTAACACCGAAAAGCCTACTGCCTACATACATTTAAAATGTTTGAAAAGTGGGAAGGGGAGGGGGGAGGGGGGCGGGACAGTGCAGTGCGCCGTGGGGCGGAGTGCTCATTGCAACATGGGCGCACGCTCGGTACCTTACGGTAATAAAGCTTTCCGCATGCTCAACGAAGCTTGTCCAAAACTACAGGCAAGGAGCACGGTCGAAGTGCTAACGTGCACTGTTTCCAGGAGCTGATCAAGCACACGCAGCACGACCATCCGGATCACCAACTCCTGGTGCTGGCCCAGAAGGAGGTTCATGAGCTGGCGCTCAAGATCAACCGCATGGAGAGGGAGGCCTTCCAGCACGAGCAGATGCAGCAGAGGGTGCGCGACGTCGAGCAGCTCATCGAGGGCGTCATGGACGTAAGTCACAACGCTTGCCCGGTCGCAGTCACCTCCTGACGCGAGCGCGGCGCCCGGAGCGTGTCCTCGAATGTGGTCCCTCAATTTCCGCCCGACGACGTCGTAAAAGCGTTGCGCTGCTGCCTCCCACGATCCTGGCGGAAGCACGGCAGCCAACGTGGACGCAGCAGAAACTTTTTTCTGCTGCGGGTTTCTGTAGCCTGTCAGTTGACGGAAGCCAGAGAGAGACGCGAGATGGGGTGACGGCGATCCTCGCGTCCACTCTCCGTCTTTGCTGGCCTTTCAGCGACCGACCACCAAGATTGCGACTTCCGAAGATGCAATGCGTCAGCTGCCGCGACATAATTTGTCGACACTTTGGGACCACTTTTGTTGTGCGGGCATGATGGGACACTGTATGTGCCAGTCGAAGACACATTCCAAGAACCGTGGTTGTTCGGACACGGGACTGGGCAACAAATCCTGATTACGAAGCCAGTGCAGGATTTTCTGTGTCTCGTTCCGGAGGTCATTGTGGTGTACAGAAAGCGGAGACGAGTACTAAATCGTCGTTCGTCTGGAACTCAGACCTCGCCGATGGAAGACGAGCATCGGTCAAACCCTGACACAGCATTCGTGTTCAACCTGTACCCGGCACTAAAGTTGCTCGATCCTGGGAAAGTAGCGCCAAGGTGCGGTGGCGGCCGTTTTAGTCTGTAGAATGAGCTGTTTCTTCTCAACCTCTCCATTCTTGGCAAGCTGATCCAAATTCGCAGTGACAGGCTGCTTTATAAACTCACTTTTTGTACACGCAGACTCTGTTATCCACACACGGGCGAAACAGGAGAACGTCTTTGCACTGCCATCGCATGTAACGTCGTGCTTGGCGACATTTAAAAAAAATTTTCTTATCGATATATGCAAGAACTACGTCATTGTAAAGGATCTGTGGAGACAAGCAGAATTGATAGGTTTATTGCATGCACAGTGCCAAAGATCGCTGCTTATATGGGCAAGGAACGCTCCCAGTACGATGATGCTCCGTGGTGATCTTTGTGCAACTGCATTAGAACGACCCTCTCGAAGCTTCAAAGATTTGAATGGACCGAAAGGGCGATTGCCATGGCAACTGAGACCAATTACCAAATCACCTTGTGAGGTGTGGTCGTCTGTATGCTGGTATCTGTGTGTGTCCAGCTAGTAGGCAGGACAGGCAATAAGTTGAACAAGTTGAAACACGCGTAAGAAGTTGCGGGGTAGGGCCTCTTGAGGTCAACTGTAAAGCGCTTGATATTTCGAAATCTTCACAAAATCAAAGGTTTGGCAATGTGAGAGAGAGATGAGTAAGTGAAGCATTAACAAAACTTAATAGAGACGGTAGTATGTGTGTTTTCTCCTTTTATGTGTCTCCTTTCCTCCTCTGTGTCTCAGATTTAGTTACATTTATAGTTCACCAATGGGTCATTCCATGCCACGGGAGACTCGGCAATTTTTTCATGTCTGGGATATGTGCGAAAAAATTAATTTGAGTATAGAAATCCAAGAAGGTAATTTTTTTGTGAAAAAAATTGTTTTATTTTTGCTGCTATCATTTCTAAATTTTTGGAATTTGCATAAAACCCACGTTGTTAGAAAAACATTGTAAAAAAAAAAAAATTGCGTACCACACAAATTTGGGTGTGCACCTAATTACTTAATAACATGCCCTATCACACACTAAAATACAAACATTGAAAGATGCCCTCTTGAGTTCAAATAGGAACTCCAAAAAGAAGAGACATTATGAGATTCCTTTATTTTTTATAGTCAGGTTGGACCTAAATTTATGTGGCTCACAATCGTTTTTTTGCAATGATTCTCTTGACTATGTAAGTCTTGCACAAATTCCATGAATTTAGAGCATGAAAGCAGCAAAAATCAATTTTATTTTTCCACAAAAAAAATTGTTTTTCTTGGACTTCAGAATTTCTTTATCCAAATATTTTTTCGTACATATCCCAGACATGAAAAAATTGACGCGTCTCCTTTAACATGAAATGACCCCAATGTGAGGTTTTAGATATTTAGCTGGCATCATTACCAAAGATGCAACAGCCCAATTACTGCAAAACATGGAATTTGTGTGAGTTATCACCCTTGTGCTGCTTAGGAATACCGCTAATAATAATATGAATAATTATAATTCTTGTTCATATTATTACTGTTATGGGAAGATCAGTTGCCGAGTAGGTTAATGCGCCACAGCTCAGGGCATGTGGAGCGAGAGCTCGCACTGTAGAGCCCAGGTATCCTTCGCTCAATTCGTTGCCACCCCTGCCCGTACCTTACCGGCGCGCAGTCGTGTATCACTACCGCGTGAGGCACATTAAAGTCCCCAGGCTAGAGGTCGTATTGTACTGGCAAAATTTCGCATCCACAGCAGAGAAGCAAGATGCTCGGGCATTGGGGCTGACTAGCTTGTTACCGTCTAAACATACATACAACTCGTTTTTTATTATGAATATTATTGTTATAAGGGTGGTGGTTGTGACAGTGGTGATGATGATGACCCTTGGGTTGGTGATGAGGGCCCAGAGTTGGACCTTCGTGGGCTCCAATGGTGGCAGCCCACTTCATACTGTTCAAGAGTTCTGTTTGCAGACGTGTGAGATGTCACTAACGGTGGCCATCTTGTTTGTTGCAGCTGGTTCAGCCCGACCGGACCTTCATACGCTACGACTTTGTCACGATTCCAGTAAGTGCAGTTCTCTCTCGTGGACGGAACATAGCTTGGTTGGGGCGTGCCTCTGGAGCGCTTCTGTTCTTGCCTCGAAGGGCGGCCTTGGAACAAAGAAGGACCGGTGCCTGTTCTTGTTCTCCGACCTGCTTCTCATCACCAGCATCAAGAGGAAGAGCGGCACAATGAGGAAGACGTCACCCTCCTCGTGAGTGCTTAATCAATCAACCAATCAATTGATGCCTCTTTGCTCTTAGTGTTTTAGTAAAGTATATTGTTGGGCTAGCTGATGCATTTCAATACAAATAAAATAGTAGTTTAATTAGGACAAGTACAGTTGAGGACAAAATGTTCCGCACCACGGGAGTGGTGGCCTAAATGCATTGCTGCGCCTCCTGGCTCCTGCTGTCAAGTCCTGCGTTTTGTGTGTCCTCCATACTTACGGAGATGCTGATTCTCTCACTTCTGGCAGCTGCGCTTGAATTCTCGGTAACCTGCTGTGTGGCGTTGCTTTGTTAGCAGCCGCGCGCACTGCCAATAGAGCTGGTGAGAGTTACAAATGGTTCCTTCACTGAATCACTTTCCCGCCTTTCTAACCTGGCTGCTTCTGAAGCGGCACCGGTCGGAAAATGACTGATAATCGGAGCGTGGCTGCGTCAAGTGAAGTGATCGGCATCCATGCGAGTGTGGAAGGACACGCATGCGCAAGGTGTTGGTCTTGACAGTATGTGCCGCACCATCAAAAGGTGCAGCAATGATTTCGGCCATCATTTCTGTGGGGTGGAAAATTTTGTCCTTGACTCTAAAAGCAAGCAAACAGGTGCCTCTCTCGCCTTGCTTGTTTGTCCTTTTTTAATTTGCAGAGTTTTATTTGTATTGAAGTATTATTTTTCTTGGAAAGGCTTTGGTCAGAGAAATTGAAACAGCGTAAACATGAACACAAGGACAGGAGAATACACAGACAAACACAGCGCTGTTTTTGTCCTGTTCATTTTTGTGTTGTTTTTGTTTCTCTGGTCATGTACCGACTCGCCCATTCTCACACCCTACTAAGGATCTTGGTGTTATAGGCTAGCCATTTGCCTGAAGAAGGCACCAAGAAGCTTTGTAAGCATGGTTACTTGTCAATGATTATTAGATTAGGCATGCTTACAAAGTTTGGGTATACATCTAGAAGCTTTATTGGTTTATTTATTTACACATTGCAGTGCCCATGGAGAATTCTCCAGCAGGGTGTTGACGCGAGTCAAGACTCAAAAGTAGCTGTTATGCGACTAAAGAGTGAAGTTAGAATCAGCAGGAAGTGGGAAAGAGCTTAATGAGAATAATGATAGTTTCACTGAAACAAAAGAGCTGAGGATCAGAAAAGATTACTTCAAATATTAAAGAAACCAATATCGAAAATGGACATGAAACTTTTCCAGTACGTAGCACAGTTCCAGTACACAGTACAGACAGGGACGGCGCCAGGATCTTCATAATGGAGGGGCAGTGGGGAGGCAAACGAAATGGGGGGGGTGAGGGGGGAGGTTGCTCTGAGGTGATGTCGCTCACCGGCTTATCGAAGATAGCTTGTGCGGTGTGCTTATTGAAAAGGGAAATGCGGAGACACGAGAAGGAAGAAAGCGGGGGAGGGGTCATCACAGCAGGTGCTTCTGCCCCCTGTGCTCAGACTCACAACCAGGTTTTGCTTCCCTTTCTGAGACAGTCCGGAATTCCCCATGACCTCGACTTTGACTAAGCTCCCCTTCATTCACGTCTCCGGTCTCCGCTGAAGATAAGCACCACAGAGCGGAATACGGAGAGAAAAGCCAGCAGGCGTCACAAAGGGGAGCTGCTTTTTCTAAAGCGCTTGATAGCTTACTTGCCCGTGGTACGGCTTCCAGTGGCTGGAAGTTACCAAAACAAATAAAAATAAAAGGCATGAGCGGCTCTAAAGTCTGGACACTCGTTACACTGGGTCTTCAAGCCGACGTCGGAGGCAATTATTTGTGTACAAAGCTGCTTCATCTTGGGGTGGCAGAAGAATTTTTAGGGGAGGAGCCCGCCACCCCTTGCCTCCCCTTGGCGCCGTCCCTGAGTACAGACTATACGATTCCAGTACGCAGATACGATACGCTATAACTTGTGTCATACACGACATTTGCCCGATGGAAGTGTGTAGGCTTTCTTCCGCTTCCGGTCCACTTTGGAATGCTTTTGTTGGTAGGGATAGCGACCGTCCATTTACAGCCCTGGACGAAATCGGCGGTTTTCTGAGCTACCCAAACTAAGCGAATTTTTGGAATATCCAGGCTTTAGTCTTTCCAGTTTGCTATTAATTATGTGTGAATTCAAAATAGCTGTTAAGAAAACGGTGAATGAAAGCGATGGCAAAGCTAGCATACAAATTTTCTCGTGCTCTCCAGTGGAGTGACGTCACATATGCTGTGTAAAATGCAACTCATGCAGGGAGTCTAAAGAACGTAGTAGTATTTCGCACATATTCTTTTGTTTTACTGGCATGAGCTTGACCAGCACTTATTTCGCACCATCAAACCTCTTCTAATTAGTCAGGAACAATTGCTGTACTGCCCTCAGAGTTCTCCACATTGCAACATAGGATGCCACATTTTGGGCGCTGCCAGTAGAGCAGCCTCTCCGACCAAATTTAAAACATCAATAACTTTGCTCAAAAAAATTTATTGTGACCCATAATTTGGGTTTTTATTATTATTATATTATTACTATTATTAGCTCAGATGTGTCTCTTGTTGTTCAGATGATGCATGGTTATCATTTATTATAAGCTTAGATCTGTTTTTGATGTTATTATGTATTAATATAATTAGCTCAGATGTGTCTATATTAATATGTAACCAATTTTGAGTCCAATCAGTGACTCAAAAAAGTTTCCCAGAGATGCCTTTTAAGAAGGTTATGACGTAGGTCCCAGGACGCAGCCCCCCCCTCCGCTGGCTGTCGGTCAAGGTCTCTACGGCTGTTGTGCTTCGCACATCTGATGACTCGCTGACATCACAAAAAAGTTGTGCTGTTTCGTGCCCGGCAGCATAGTCGATGTCCTCATTGAAATTGTACATGCACGCCGAAGCAAATATACAATATTCGAAAATTGGACACAATTTTTTTTATTGCGGGCAACATGAATTGCACCTTGTGTAGACAGTCCTTAAGGGGCTCATGAAATGTTTTTCTGAAATTCTGAGCTGTATGTCTGTTTGGAATACATACTTGTCCTTTATCACACAACCCACATTCATTCGTTTGATCGTCCGGATTAATTTTGGGTGACCAAACAGATAATTTCGGTTTCCCGGGGAGCTTCCCTTCCCTCTCAGTTTTACAAATATGTCACTATACATAACCAATAGGCTCCTTGCATTGACGTCACATCGTACACATTTGCACACCAAGTAAAAGGAGGAGAGGGAAGCTGCTTTTGTAAGAATTTTGAGTGACGGGTTAATCTTCTATAATCTTCTGGGAGGAGAATAGCGACGCCTGTGCAAATCCGGAAGGCACAAAGGAGGGTCCTGATAAGAGGGGAGCTCCTTCTCCCCCTCTTCTCTGGAGGGTATCGGAAATGACGTCATGTGCAAGGAGCCTATAGGGAATTTTACTTTTGTGCGCAAGATGGCGATGTAGGATAGGAACTTGATGGGCAAAGCCGCAGCGTCAGATATCGCTCCAACAGCGGCGCCATAATGATGCCGCCCGCAGAAGTCAATTCATCACATTTGATGTCTAATATCGTGCTCAGATACTTGTAAGATAGCCGACCTCATTGAACTCTTGCGTTGCCTGCAGGCGGTCAATGTTTAGGTTTCAAGCCTTACGCCTACATCGTGTGCTGTTTGCGCTACCGTATACCGCACTACAGAGGAGTGTTCGAGGAAAATGTTTGCAACCTTAATCTGTCGAGCCGCAACCCCACAGAGGGTCGTCAAATGACGAGCCACAAATATATTTTCATTTCGTCCAAAAAGTTGCCGATCCACTCGCAATAAAAAACTAAAAAACTAGAAGGCTGGAAATATAGGTGATAGGAATCGCCTATGCATACTTGACGAGCAGCATGTCAAGTCACTGCTGAGGAAGATTATATAGGAAGGACAGAAGCTTCACCTTACACGAATCTGGTTCCTGCGCTTGCGCAGGAACCAGATTTGTAAACTGGGCTTGTTTGTAAACAATGTGCTGGTCTATAGAACTACACCCGTGAAAATATCCAAAACGAATATGCTGGTGGTTGAGAGGTTGTATGCGTACCTCCCTTCTTGCTCTTGGCTTTTATGAAGTTTGGGCTCAGATCTTCTTGGGATTGTAATTTTTACGGGGGAGCTGTTAAAGGCTAGTTTCCCCAGGATCGTGTCCGTCAGCAAAGAAATGTCGACAAAACACTCTGGACAGCTACCGCCATCTATGAGCGACGTCGGCAACCGTCGCTCATAGATGGCATCTGGATGCCACCGTCACTCATAGATGGCGGTAGCTGTCCAGAGTGTTGTGTTTGCCGGTTGTCTCGTTCCCGCCGTTGCTCATAGATCGTGGCAACTTTTCCAGCCTTTCCACTCTGGCGGGCCGACTTGCGGCCGGCCATTACTTCATTTCCACCATAGTACAGCTTCGCTGGTCTTCCTCCTTCACCAGAGTGGAAAGGCTGAATGTTTTTAGAGCGCAGCTCTTAGGGGCCCGTTTCCGGCTTGAGCGGCGTCGCCGTCGGCGTCGGCGTAACCGCGCGGTGCATCATGGGAAATGTCCCATAATGCACCGCGCGAGCCCCCCACCAAGGTCACGTGACCTCGTGGGGGTCACGTGACCCCCCGTAGTCACGTGACTCCCCTGAGGTCACGTGGCCCCCTCCTCGAGGTCACGTGACCCCCGCCGATGTCGCGTGACCCCCCGATGACGTCATTGTCACTGATGACGTCACCGGCATCCACATCGTCATTGTCATCATCACTGATGACGTCACCGGCATCCACATCGTCATCGTCATCATCACTGATGACGTCACCGGCATCCACATCGTCATCGTCATCATCACTGATGACGTCACCGGCATCCACATCGTCATCGTCATCATCACTGATGACGTCACCGGCATCCATATCGTCATCGTCATCATCACTGATGACGTCACCGGCATCCGCATCGTCATCGTCATCATCACTGATGACGTCACCGGCATCCACATCGTCATCGTCATCATCACTGATGACGTCACCGGCATCCACATCGTCATCGTCATCATCACTGATGACGTCACCGGCATCCACATCGTCATCGTCATCATCACTGATGACGTCACCGACATCCGCATTGTCATCGTCATCATCACTGATGACGTCATCAGTGACGTCACTGATGTCGTCACCGGCATCCGCATCGTCATCGTCATCATCACTGATGACGTCATCAGCGACGTCACTGATGACGTCACCGACATTCGCATCGTCATCGTCATCATCACTGGTGAAGTCATCAGTGACGTCACTAATGACGTCATCGGTACCCGCATCGTCATCGTCACTGATGACGTCATCAGTGACGTCAGTGATGACATCATCGGCATTGGGGGTCACGTGACCCCCAAGGTAACGTGACCCCCCCCCTGGTTAGTTTAACCCCCCCCCCCCCAGTGCCCTTCCCTCCTCCTCCTCAAGAGCTGCGCTCTAATTCGGCGTTACAGGGAGTTGTAAGCGGCTTTCATTTTTTTTTATTGCTTCACTTTATGTTCTATAGTAATTCTAATTTAAAATCGGGTGTCACAACAGCATTCCACAATGGATGCGAGCCGCAGCAAACTGACAGAAAACCCGGATATGTTTGAAGCCGAAACTGTACCGCAATCACGTGATGCATGTGATGTAGCAGTGTCCATCTAATGCAGGAACGCCAATAATGAACTGAACGTGCTCGTCACTCCAAATTTTTTATTTGAAAATGAAGTGAAGTATAATATCTGTTAAACCTTTTTCCGTAGCTATCGCAATGTTTTGTTGCTCACGCAGTCGTGCCGCAGGGTGTCGCATGGTCGTATCAAAAGACGCGATTTTTAAACACAGTTTATTACATGCAGACGCGATATTTTGCCATAACGCTTAGTTTCTGTGGTTTAATGAATACAAGAAAACGAAAATCCGGCAGATACTTTTTCTTTTCATGACCCCTTTAACAGTCCTTTCAGGCGTGCAATCGTGAAGCTGGTCGTGCCTTTTCAGGCGAGATAGTATCATTTCCTATCCATACACATGTGGGAGCATGAACATACCAGTAGGCTTGTGTACCATACCAGCCAATGTCTGATGCTGCTCTGGACCTGGCAGTACGGTGGGGTGTTTAGACCCTATCTTCTGATCTTTGCTAAGCTTGTTATTGTTCTATTTTTGTTTCTTCGCAAAAGGTGTTCCCCCTCCGGTTTTGGCTTTGCCGTCTTCGACATGAACAAGTACAAGCTCTTGCTGAGGTTCTCGCTGGATAACCTGGACATTCTGAAAAGTGAGTCTTTTGGGGTTCTGCCTATAAATATGTTTCGTAAAATGTACAGGCGGCTATACCCGCTGGCAGGGCAAAAGTGGCAAGGTGTCTTTCAGTTGTCGCGCCTCTAGCACATGCTTTCTGCCTTTGATGACAACTTGGTTGTTTCGCGAGTTTGAAGTGTGCACGTGCACCAAAACACGACGAAAGGCAGCAAGTGCAAACTGAGGCTGGGCATATTACACCCTGCACTTCTCTTCCTGTCAGTGAGTGTGGATTGGTCATCGCTTCAAATTTCAGGACTTTATTCTGCTTCTAATCCCTGAAGCTCCCTGAAAATCGTGGGGTGTACAATTTGTACAATTGATGGATTTGGCTTTGCTGCAGCCTACCCTAGCTTTGCTGTGAAGCCAACCTCCCGGAGTGCTAAGGATATAGTTGCAGTAGAATTCATGCTTGGTTTGAAGCCTGCACAAGGCCTGTTAAATGAATCCTTTAATTCATGTCTAACTAATCTTTTAACTTTCACAGTCTACGTGTCTGACTCTAGAAACACAATAAAACTCCAAGTCCTATTTAGAACATAGTGGGTGAAATATGCCTGGGATTCGAAGCACCTCTTCTCTTTTTTGTTGGTTGCACAGTTGTAATAAGTCAAAAGACATACCTAAATGACAGAGGTGTGCAGCCATCACAGGCAGTGTTTGTTGTTGTTAAGGGATCCCTGAATGCACATGTAGTTGCGAAGATGCAAATTTTCCGCAGGTTTAAGGGTGCTAGTTGGCTGTGCATAATAAAAATCGAAAAGTGCAAAGGGCAATGACAAGATGTAGAACAAGACAGAAAAATTGATGTGTGTATGTCTATACAGCCTAAAGTTAGTCAGCCCCAATGGACGTCTGGCGTCTCAGCTGTAGATGAGCGATTTAGCCAGTGCAGTACAGCGACTAGCCTGGGGCCTCTAACGTGCACCACACAGTAGCGATACACGACTCCACGGCTGTACGATACTCATCCAGATTGAAACGGGCAGGGGTGACCACTCGGCCACCGATCCCCCAAGACAATACACGACAGGACACAGGAACAAGACAGGTCAGGAACAAGACGACACACGCTTATCATACGCTGACGTTTTACTACATTAATAGTGAAAAACAAGGAGAAAGCGATTAATATGTTAATTAAGGGGGGACATGGCCTGGGAGGATCAACTTTTGAACCATTCCTTTAGATTGACTCAAACTTTCAGGGTGAGTTGAACCTTATTAGGATTGATGACATCTAAAGTTTCAGTCTTTTAGGCTAATTCTACAACCTACTAATGCTCAAAAAGCGTCAGGAAAAAGTGACTTCAGTAGGAAATGTATTTAAAAAACATAATAATGGCAACCCTCAAAATGTTTGTTTTAATGTGAAGTAGAGTGCCCATAGTGCAAGTTAAGATAAAAATTAATTGTATAAAATTGCAAATTTAGAGAAAAGCAAGAACACCCAAAAAGTACAAAAGATTTTAACAAATTTCTGTGTTTTAAAATATTCAGTTTTTGTCATGAAGAAGTTAGCGTTTTCAGAATATGAGCACCTTAACTTGTTCCTCAGAAAATTTCAGTCCAGGACACTATTGAATGAAATCTTTACACTCTTAAATGTCAAATGATACATTTCCTCATACCACATTTCCTGCTAAAAAGTGCAACTGAGAAAAATGCATTTGGGAATTTTCAACCTTAGATTTCTTTAATTTCTATAAGTCTGAAGTAGGCCAAATTCACCTGGAGCCTTGTTAGCACCTTCCTCTTCGAGTCTTCGTTGTTCCCCTGGCAATGGCTGCCAGTTCATGTCGTTTGTAGGCAAGCTAACTTTTGTAGCAGGCATTCCTTGACAGATAAACTGGCAAGAACTAGGGTAAGAAGCAAATCATACTAAGGAAGAGCAGCAAAGCAGGAATATGATTCGAAGTAGAAGATACTGTGAAAGGGTGTTACTGAACATGGCACAATATCACCTCACCGGGCAGGACCAATCGTAAACCCTGTTTCGGGTCTCAACCAACAAGATTGCTTATACCAAACTTTTCTGGATTTTTTTCTGTTTGAATGTAAAGGGTTCTCCTGGCAATTAATACTTTTAAACTTTGAATGCTTCTACAGGCTAGATCTAAAGTTAATGGCACTTCCAATGAGGGGGAGATGCTCATGCTATGTCAAACAAGTATGAAGCAGCGCTAAATAAAAAATGCAAAAACTTGCTCCCTGCTGACTCGGAGGGCTGCCGACATGGTGAAAATAATTTATTGTGAAATAAAACATGCATGTTTATAAATAAAATTTTCTGAAACCATTCTTTGAAAGTTAATAAACATAAACATATAATTTTTGAAAAAAACAAAAACAACAAAAAAAAGACATTTTTTTCTGAAAAATTTGAATTTCGAGGCCATGATACATTAAGAGGACGGGAAGAGGTAATGCTAATTTAAAACAAATTGTGAAAGAGGAAGTTTCTGGAAATCACATGAATGTACAAGAATGCTTCATGAAACTCTTAAATAATCTTCAAGAAAAATTCCTATGAAAAGCAAAAATATCTCACAAATTGAAAAGGGTAGCAATCAAATGTGACATCCAAGTAGTACTCTCGGCCCCAGACACGCTTAAAAGGCTTTGCCTTGAAATGAACTCCCAGAAGGATCATCTGATCAATGCACGGTACAACACGCAAACAAATATGTCAGCTGCTGCGTTGGTGTCATATATGAGACGCCATTTACCTGTGGGAGAGTCTATGCGGGCCAAACTGGCAGGTGTGTTAACATCAGACTGCGAGAGCACGTCCTGCCACTCAAGTCGACACTGGCTGGACACCTAGCTGTGCACGCAAAAGACCTCAAATGCTTCCCTGTGTTTACCTAAATTAAAGCTTTCATGCGGTACCATAACTGGAGCAACAGAGAGATTTATCAGGCTCACACCATCAGAGCTAAAGGGGATGTGCGCATTAGTGCACCGTCTATAGGGCTTTCTGACAAAGAAATGAGCTACCTCAACATCGTTAAGAATTTTTTAAAGATTTTTTAATAGTTTCATGAAGCATTCATGTACTGTTCACTTTATGTGATTTTCAAAAATTTCTTTTTCACACTTTGTTTTGAGTTATTATTACTTCTTCCTGTCTTTTTTATTTAGCACATCCCTCACTTCCTCCTCATCTTTCACCCTAAGGCATTAGAACGTCAGTTGATAGTAAGTGCTTGTGCAGTCTTGTTCTACATCTTGTTCTTGTCCTTTGCACTTTTCAATTTTTATTTTAGGGGTGCTTTAGGCAAAAATGTGAGTTATGTGCATTTCAGGAGCATCAAAAGGGGTCACATGCACATTTTATTTAGCCAGTTCTACCCCTAAATTTTAGCCTCACCAAGTACTCATGTTTGCCATTGATTGGTGTGCTCCGACTCCAACACTTTAGTTTTCTCCGCTTTCCTGGGGGCCCGGGTTTTAAAGTTGAATTTGTGTTGTTGACGGTTGTTGTTACGTGAAGGGCTAAACTTTCTACTCTGTTTGTAGTTTGGTTTCTATGCTGAACACTGCATGACACAGTTAATGGAATGGCGACGCGGCACTTTTTTTCACATTTTTCCGGACAGAGTATTGATGGGCCATCAATCCACACTGAATCAATGCTTTGGCCATTGGCGCAGCCAGAAATTTTTTCTTTTTTTTTTTTTTCGGGGAGAGGGGGGGGGGCAGTTAAGGTGGTTGGGACGTCTATGATTGGGGGGGTAAAGGGGGGAGGGGGGTTCAAAACGCATGTGTATACCGTAAAATACCACGCATCCGCTCATTCCACATTAAGCGCCCATATACAAATTTCTAAGATGCGAGAAAATATGCAGAGTACATTTATATGTAAAATTGATGACTGGACAAGCGCCCATCCCCAATTTTTTTCGCGATAATCTCAAAATTTTGAGTGGGTGCTTGCCAGGTATTTTACGGTAATATAGGGTCGGTTGTATTTTATGGGGTGCTAAAGCCTCATATGCCTCCCCCCTGGCTACACCACTGGCCTTGGCTAAGGACTATCTATCCCGGCCACTATACTCCGTTTTATACTTCATACACAACACTGTCAAACCTACTGGCGCGAGCGCGTGGCTTCATCTATAGTTTAGTTTGCGGTATAACGCGTGCAAATGATCAACGAGATGAAGCCCCATGCTCGCGCCTGCAGCTTTGGTAGCATTGTACACTAAGTATGAAGCAGAGTATAGTAGTAGGGCAGTCCTTTGCTTGTAAGAAAGCAACAGGAAAAACTGATGATTGTTTGTTCGTGCTTACGGGGTCATACTCAATATGCATACTGGCTGTGTCATGCGTGAGTTTAGAGAGCCCAGCTTAGGTTGATTCAAACAACCCAACAGTTTTATATTTCATGCCCTGCCTAGACACCCGCTTCATGGCTTCTATTTCAGTCGTGCTCTCTACTCGGATTTTGCATGCACATTCTCGATATCATGAAGCAAGCCTGACACGGCTTCACAATTGTGTTAGTTATTTCAGTACAATACATATTCCTCTTCTACCACGAAGAGAGGCTCTCAGTCTTCTCTACTAAACCACGGAGTCCTAAAATGTTGCAACGTGATACTTACATATGCCAAACCATGCCTACGTAGACCAGATGTCCGTGCCTTTGTTATTTCTGCGTTATTGCGTGTCGACAAGAAGTTTATTACCACTGCGTCTTATATATCTTCGATACATCTCTCTCCTCCACGTCCCCTGTTTCCTCCAGCTGCTGACGTTGGGCTGAAGAGAGCCATACGAGAAGCCGAGAACTTGGAAGAGGACGTTTCGCTCATCAGCCAGATATCGGAGCTTGTCTCGCGCCTCAACTGTCCTCACCAGGTAAGCAGAGTGAACAAAAGCATTCTGCATCGACTCGTATGTGAGAGGCGTCGACGCACATGTACGGCCATGGACAGACCCAAAGAAGCCGTAGGAGCGTGCGACATCTTGCACTATAGTCGATGGCAGAAGAGAGCAGCAGGGTGGAGTTTCAGCTGCCCCGCCTTTAGCATGAGCTTCCTACAGCTCCGAGCGTGCACATGCAGCCAAAGCACAGCGAAACAATTGCTTTATGAGTGGAATTTGCCGTTCCCACCAACTGAAAAGGGAAAATTTAAGAAAAGTGTGTGGCTCTTGTTTATTGCGGCTCGTCACTTAGAATGATTTTTTTTATGGCACCTTGAATATATATCCATCCGACGTCCCACCCCTGCATAGACTCTTTTCAAAAGTATACACACCGTCTAGTAGCTGCTGGCAAATGATTAAAATCCAGCATTGTTTGGGCACATACGCTGAGCATCTATTGGGCACAAGGGCTGTGGCAGCGTTCAGCATGAACTCAGCTCAGCTTGGATCGAAAACGAGTGCTATATCAGCGTTTGGCGAGAACTCGAGTCCAATCACACACTTTGTGCCCAAGAAATGGTGGCCATCAACATTGCTTGTGGGGTCCGGAAAATTATCTATTTTTTACGGCACTGGGCTCAGTTGTCCTGCTGATAGGTGGATGTTGATAGTCGCTGATTTTGCAACTGGCTGATGCTTGCATAGAGCAATTCCTTTCTCTGTCGACATCACACGCACTTGCAATTTGAGACTGCATGCACCTATGGCTTTGTTGGGTTTGTCCATGCCCATACTTGCATAGTACACATTTTAGTGGCTGAGTAACGTTTATTGGAAGAACAAAATGGCTTTGAATTAAGACGAAAGCATTTAATTTGTGGAGCAAACTTAATTTAAGTTGGCCCTCTGTATGAGAATAAACTATCCTATCAACTCTTCATCTCTCTGTGATGCAAGGAAAGTAAATGCTGGTCTTTCCTTTCTGTTGTACATGTTGTGGTAGGCATTTGCTACTGTCCAAGCCATAATTTGAATGTTTTTTCTTTTCTCTAACAACAGACTGCAGTTCTTGATCTTGGTCAAAACGATTGAGTATTGTATGTGTCGTTAGAGTATCCACAAGCTGGTAGTGTCTCGCTAGCTATCGCTGGTAGTCTGATGCGACTTAATGTGCTGTAGTACATTAGTGGTTCTGTGCATTTCAATATCAAGAAACACTTATTAATGGCGGAGGAACCCTTTCTGATCTTGGCATTAATACGGTAAAACAGTGCAGAAGCCTACAGGCCGTGTAAACAATAATTTGCATAGTAGTACTAGGGAGTGAATGATGGGGAAGGGTGTTGTAACAGACAGTGCCATGCACCCGGGGTGGCCGCCAGGGTACACCACGTTGAGCGCCTATTATGGTTGCGCACTCATTGAGGGATGCATTCAATTGCGGGCCAAGCTGACCCGATGTTGTCCTAATAAACATGTTTGTTGAACTAGTGACAATCGGCTCAATGTTTTGCATCAGTAGGTGGGATCAGGTCTTCTAAAATAGTACTTAAACTTAGAAAACACTTTACATAGCCCAGTTAAAAGTTCCCATTAGGTTCCATTTGGAACTTTCCCATTGGTACCAGTTATGTTTTTGGACAACCAGTTCGTTACTGCCAATGGGAACCAATGGGATCTGATCAGAACCATTTGAAGCCCATTCAGGTTCCAACTGGAGAAGTAATTCTGATTGGTAAAACCCATTGGCCAGTGGGCTTCCAGTTGAAACCCACTAAAACCAATTGGCTCCTATTAAAACCAGTTGGAATTCCAATTGGGTCTAATGGCAAATTGTAGCTGGGAGGGGCGGAGACGGTTGATGAAGTTTGGAACCTCGGGGAACCTCTTAGGGTAGTCTGGGGAATCCCGGGGCTTTTAGGAACCCAGTTCTGAGAACCCATGCTGTAGGTGCATGCAAAGAAAGAAACCACTTTTTCTCCTTGTTGTATTTAAATTTCTGCAGGCTTTGGATGACACTGTTAGGGACATGATGACTTCGCTGAACAAGCAGCTGGCTGAACGACAGAGTTACGACCTGCAGCTGCTGAACCTCCAACTTACTGTTACCACTCAGTGAGTACCAGTTAAATACGGTTCTTTTGTGCCACACCTAGTGCAGTCCTCGCCAGCAGCATCCCGTGGTTTGATGACAGGATGTCTGCGAAGAGGTGGGTTGACTCTCTTAAGAGAGGGGACATTCTTTGATATACAGTCGACTCTCATTAATTCAGACTCTTAATTCAAACTTGTGGATAATTCAAACTAACATGCGGTCCCATCCTATGCGTCTCTATGGGAGGAAACTCCTGGTAATTCAAACTTTGCTTTATTCAAACAAATTTTCGATCTTCCTTGAGTTTGAATTAACGAGATTCGACTGTAGTTGGAAGATTGAGGTGTTTAAAGGCCAATGCATTTGAATCTTTAGCTTTTGCAAAAGCTAAGAATATCTTCTTAGCTTTTGCCTGTCTCCAAAGGTAGCAAGGGTGGCAAAGGAAAAAAAAAGAAGGACTAAGAGAGAGGAGTATCGTATTTTTCCGATTACAAGTCGCACTCTTGTATAAGTCACACTTTCGTATATAAAGCCGTTTTTGCAGAAAAGTTAGTATATGTGTTGAACCTTAGTATAAGTCGCATCTGTCTGCATGGTTGACGCGATGAATTTTTTTGTTTTACGTGCGTGCGGTGTCGCGAAATCAGAGTTTTGCACAATCGGCTCGTTCACCCGTATCATTTAATGCGCAACAACTTTGATGTTTCGGCTCCCTAAAAATGCCCTTAGCACGGCGCTGTCTGGAGGGGGCGATCAAGTCTTTTGCAGCAAAAGGTTGTGAAACGTGAAAAATGAGAAGGTGATTGCCTTTATTTGAGCTTACACATGCTGAGCGAAGGAAAATTTAACATGCCAGACACTCGTGAATGAAGCTTCGAACCACTAGGCCTTGCCTAGGCCATGTCATGGAGATGGCACGAGCACCATTGCACATGCAGATAGATAAATCTTGACACACTTCTTTTGGTACCGCTAAGATCAGTTAGCTGCAATCCTTCGTTTTACATGTAGCAACATGGCTGGAGCATGGCAGAGTAAAACTGCTCACCAAATGGAAACTAAGAAAGACACGAGAAACTTTTTGCAGTGCGTGTATATACCAACGCGCTCTAAGATCAGCTCGCCCTGGTACTTCAGGCGGAGGATATCTTGGGTACTTAATCTGTGCTCTAATTAAAGTGATTTTCTCTCTCTACCTTTCAGTGTTACTGGACTGAAGCAGACGAATATGGAATTATGGCTGAATAGGCAATGTCAATCACATGCTGTGAAAGCTTTATTCTCTCTTTCTTGCCTATTCACATTGAGCTGCTTCGGGGAAACTTAAAAATTTCTCGCTCTTTGAGCCAGTTATAAAAAGTGTAGAGAGTGCGGCAACAACAGTGGCTCGTGGAAGGGGCAACATCACGTATTGGTACATGCCGGTAGTTATGGTGCTCTATGAAACATCGCACACGGCGCATTAAAAATAACGTCACACCGAGAAATTAAAAAAAAAAAAAGAAAATGCATATATAAGTTGCATTGTTATAAGACACACCACGAAAAATGTTTGAAAAAAAAACGTGACTTATACACCAGAAAATATGGTATGCTTTTCACCCGTAGAGAAGCAAATCAAACTGTCGAAAAAAGAGGAGTAAAGGGGAAAAGTCATTTTATTAATTTCATCAATATGATTTTACGATCTCTTTATGCATGCCGTATGCACTTTTCAAGTGAGATAGGTTTGCAAACCCGTGGTCCTCTTGGTCTGCTAACCCCCCAGATTGTCCGAGTTAATTTTTAGTCCTTTGCTGGGGTGTTGCCAGATACCCTTGGTTGGTTAGGCACGTAATTACCCTCCAAACTGAGTTTTTTTTTGGTTTTGCTTGCTCATAATTGGGCAGTAATTAAAAGAGCAATGCCGCATAATTTTGCGGTGCCTTTACCGCATCAAGTAAATGAACTGTAGTATACTGATATTTTTATTTTAACTGCCTTTTTGTACGATTGAAAAGCTATTTGGTAATTTTGGAAAGACAATAAAAGAAAAAACAAGAAAAACTTATTTTGTTTTTTACAATTTCCCGCCTGACTGGAATACCCATCGTAAGGGCACACCTTTTCTGTCTCAAATGAAATGTGTTTTCTGCAGGGAAGGGGTGGAGAGCTTGACGATCATCTTTCCCTCAACGGAGAAACGCTCCTCCTGGGAGCTGGCTTTCAACGAGGCCAAGCAAAAATTGGGTATGCAGCGCTAGTTCGTAAACAACCTAATTCGGAGCCACCAGTGTCCCTCGTACTATGTATATCATACTTTAACACTTTTGTTGAAGTCAGCACTGAGTTAGACGATTGGTCGTCATCGTTGCGGCACTCATGAGCTCCCTACTGACATTCCCACTGCTGTCCTTGCCAACTCTCCTTTGTCGCCATAGGCTATAGTCTTGCGCACGTCACTGAAAAGAAGTAATTCATTGCAATTCACGTGAGAGCCAAGAATGTCAAAGGATGGCATTTTGAGACATTAGCCGCGTTTACACGAATGCAACTTCAACGCATTGACTCCAATCGTCCTTCAAATGAAGCCGATGCGGCAACGTTTACATGAATGCGCACCAAGCCCTACGGGAAGCTGGCACCACGCCGCGTCAAAGCTGAGAGTTAAAGCTGCGTTTCCGGCACCGGCTGCACCATGTGACCGCATTTTCCGGTGCATCCCACGTGAAGGCTTTTCAACGCTTTCGGAAACCGTAAAGATTGTGCTCGATGCCTTCGATGCTGTGCAAGAAGTTACGAGATGGAAGAAATATCAAAACCCAAGCGTTATGGGCTCTGGGTCCGGCCGCTGGGCCACTCTGGATCGGAGGCGACGTGCATGCTCACGGCCTGGCGAGCGAGATCGTTTCCACCCGCTCTGAGGATGTCACTGCGCTTCGCTTTGCCAAATCTTGCCAACCGCAACCGGACCCGGAGGCCGAAAGGCCCCATCGCAGCCAGGAATGGCACCGAGGTAGGAGCTTCTCGTTCTGCCCTACCATGCAGTGCTTGGAGCTCTTGACGTTGTTTGTGCTTGCACTGAAGCCTCTAGGCACTCCCTCAGTCGTGCAAGTCGTATTTCGCGAAGCTTGGATGGGGGCCGCCCTCTCCGAGCAGCTTTGTGATATACCGCTGATTTAGTGTGGCAATAAATGCACTCGTTTCTTCTCGGGAAAAAAACTGGGGGCGACCATACGAGACCGCTTTGCGCTGCCGTCGACAAGGTTGGCCGCCGCCATGTTCTTAGCTGTTCTTCCGCAGCGAGCGCCTTCCCATAATCCTTCCCATTCCAAAAAGTGATGCGACCTTCATTTACATGAGTTGAGTGATTGCGTATTCTCCGTCTTCATCCACCTCTGTCTAGCGACTTGAATGCTATGCGCTTCCGTAGCGTATTACGTCATTTACATGACTGCATTGAATGCAACAACTGGATTCAATGTGACTAAGTCGCATTCATGTAAAGGCGGCTATTGAATATTATGGCTCTTTCAGTCTTGAGCCTGAGCATCAAGTGCTTGTTTCACCAGTTTCAAATGTGGCATAACCTGTGGTGCGCATTCTTGCGAGAAGACCGATTTCTCTCGAGGTGTGTCGTCGGCAATGGCTGAAAGTGCCGCCCTCCGCCTTGCAGCGCTCTCGACGGATCGCCGCCCTCCGCCGGAGTTCCTCCACCCGGTGCCCATCCGCAAGACGCGCGCTGGCCTCCAGTTCACGTGCGCTGTGGCCACACTGGGGCTGAATGCGCACGGCCTGCGAGACGTATGGGTCTGCAACAGCGACGGCTACGTGGGGCAGGTGTGCGTGCTCAGTCTGCAGCCAGAACCGACTGTCATGTCCTGCAACGGCGTCTGCAATGCACGCATCCTCTGCATCGCCTCCATCCCTGCGGCGAGCCCAGTGTGAGTGTCTGCCCCCCCTCAGTCCTTCCTCGGTCTGCATGCAGTTTACTATAATAATTAGAATAATAATAATAATTATTATAATTTTAGTCAACATAAACAATTATGCAAGATACAGACATAGGTTTGTCCAAGCCAATGGAGACTTGACGGACAGGACCCGGTAGTCGAGCGGCAAGCTTGATAGCATCAACACAGATAACCAATACACTTCAGAAGGAAAAGAATGTGCAACAGAACAGAAAGTAGAAAAACAAGCACGGTATTAATGCGGACTCAGAATGACAAATTGGTCAATAAATTCTTCAACTTTCTCTTAGTAGAAACTTCACCAAAGAAACAATCGGGAAGTTTAGTAAATATCCCAATTGTATAGTGCTAGCTGCAGTAGTAGTACCGGTAGTAGTGGTAGTGGTAGTACTAGTAGCAATAGCGGTAGTGATAGTGATAGTGCTGGTAACCATAGTAGAAGTTGTAGCTGTAGTGAAAGCTTCTAGCAGCAGTAGTATAGTGGAGGTGGTAATGCATAGTAGCAGTACTAGTGGCAGTAGTAGTAGTGCTGGTTGTAGAAGTGGTATGGTGCTACTAGCTGTACCAGCTACTAGTTGTAATGGTGGATAGTAGTAGCTATAGTGTAGTAGGAGCAGAAGTAGTAGCTATAGTGTAGTAAAAGTAGTGGATGCATGGTGGTAATAGAAGCAGTACCGGTAGCAGGAGTAGTATATACTGTTGGTATTAAGTATTAGTAGTAGTGTTAATAGCAGAAATTGTAGTTGTTAGTGGTAGTGCTGGTAGTAGTAGTACTTGTAGTAGTAGTAAAAATAGTAAATAGTAGCAATAGTGTAGTTGTTGTGATAATAACAAAAAATGCAACAATAATTCAAATTTTTATAATAAGAGGAAATTGTTTTTTATTATTTTATTTTTTGAGTGTACACGTTGAGGTCAAAAGAGCAGCAACACAAAACACACTGGGCACGTTAAGTTAGTGAGCTCCAGACTCCGGACATCTGTGCTCGAGCGTGCGGGTTTTGAGTGCACCTAACAACCACACTTTTTTTCGTACAAAGGCGCCATCTGATGCCTATTTTTAATGTTTCTGGTTCTGGCTTTCCGGCGCGCGCTTAAACATGGCTCTCGTCACGTCGAAACTTGTTGAGTGTTTGTTCGACAACTACTTCGATTAAATAAGTGCGCGGAGACGGCGGCAACAGCAAGAACTTGCCTTTGTGCTGTGCGCTGTTGGCGCGGCGATCAAAGGTACTCTGAACTTTCTTCTGAATTTCCAAAAGCCCTAAAGAATAACACCTGAATGACAGAATTCATCGGCTCGCCTGATCCTGAAATTGTGTGTAATAAGGCACACGAAGAACTTCGACAAGCATTTGGAGGAAGTACACATACCTGTCTACACCAGCTTTGTTTTTTTTTGTTTTTTTTTCCCATGATGACAAAGTCATTGCTTTGTGAGCTTGACAAGTGTCGCCATCTACTGTTGCATAGTACAAATATTTATACTTCACCTGTCATACATTTTGAAAAATAAATCATTGTTTTATTCAACATGGCGCAGTCGACCCAGCGAGCCTTTGTTCGTCGCGAAATAATTCGGCAAAAACTGCAGAAAAATGTAAAGCAACTGATTGAAACTTGAACAACGAAGCGCCGAAGTACCTCACCTCCTGCAAATCACAGAAGTCGCCTTTGCAAAGTGCGTGAACGCTTCAGATCGACAGCGGCTTCGCCAGCCGCTGTCGAAGTGCATTTTCCTGCCAGAACCGCTACGACGGACAGCAGAACTAATCCTTTAAACTCCTGCTTGCAAAAAGGGGTTGGTGCCCGGATATCGAAAACTCGACGGATGACCCCGCAAACACTCGCCAAGACGTCTCGTGACTTTGTGAAACTGCAAGTAGACGACACCATTTCTGCTCGTTGTCAACCACGGTAAGCCTCGCTGGCGTAACCGCCAAGAAATAAACCCACCGGACATCCCAAGTTTGACCAACATTGTCGCTCAACTTGCTCTAACGGTACAACTGTTGACCAAAAGCCAAAGACAACCGGTACAAATTACATCAATATGGTGGACACCGTGAATGAGATCCCCCAATTCACCGGTGATCCATTGGACGACGCTAAACAGTGGACCTAAGAAGTGGAACAGATTGCAGCTCAAGCATTATGGACCCCCGCACTGACGCTTCTGAACGCTACATCTCGACTCGGGCCTGGCAGCCAACTGGCAGAAGACAAACGAAAAACGCCACCACGAGTGGGAAGAGTGGAAGCACGCTCTCATTGAACGGTTTCGACGACAACTTTCGATGAAGGACCTCATTGAGCTACAGGCAGAGAGGACGCTGAGAAGGAACGAGACCCTGGTCCAGTACGTGTTCGAGAGGGATGCACTCCTCGAGAAGTCTTCACATCCCCCGACCCCCGAGGAACTAGCTCATATAGATGATCATCAGAGACATCAAGGACACAAAGTGATCACACCTCTACTCCTAAATGACGGAATTAATTGACGGAGCTGCAACGCGTGACTCGCTGCGACAACTGGAAACAGAAGGAAGCAATGAAAAGAAAGACGCAGAAACAAGAGAGAAGCCATTCCCACAAGTTCAACCCGAAGTTAGGTGACAAGCCTGAAGATCTGCACTACTGGAGATACGGAAAGAAGGGGAACATCTTGCATCAGTGTCATCTTCCACCTCCAGAAGCAGGCAGTACACTCTCAACACAAGCCGACAGTAAAACTGCAACACCGACACACCAGAGGTATGCACACCAGGTTGTATCACCACGACGCCGCATTAATGAAGCTAGTACAGCAACCATGCCAGCAACACACGCCTTCCTTGTTCTCCAAGTGAGAATGCTGCCAGTGGTCCAACTCAGGGCGCAATGAAACCAAATGCACGCTACTCTGTGAACTGCTTGTACCGAAGGTCCTCACGCACCGATCGTCAACACCATTATTAATGGCACAACAACGGTGCATGCTCTCTGTGATTGTGGATCGGAAGTCACAGTAATCCGGAAGCATGTCGCACCACCCAAGCTACCAGTATTCTAATGGCAAAACCAAGGAGGTTATATTAAGACTTCTGGAGTGGCGGTCTCCCGCACTCTCCCATGCGACCGGGTGAAGCCAGTTTCGCCGGTCAGCGGCCATCAAATGTGAAACGAAACGGCGCTCGAAGCAGCAGTAGCAGTGCACCATTGCTTTTGGGGCTGCATATTAAAAGAAAAACAAAACTGATTTTTTAAATTTGTTTTAGAGGACTCAAAAGCCGCTTAAGACTCGTTTTCTACCCTTAGTAAAATCCGCTTTCTACCTTTAGTAAGATGGCGGTGGTCGCCGTTTTTGCCGTCAGCTCCGCAACACCACCGCCACTTCAGAAGTCTTAAACTTATAACCTCCTTGGGCAAAGCGGACCAATCGAGAGAGCAGTAGGACCCATCACACCCGCCGGATGGATCATCCTGCATGTCAAAGTTGGGAGCATTGATTACACCATGCCACAAGTGGGACCCTGTCAACACCTGCCTGTTGCCCTTGTTTTGGGTAATGACTGGAAATGGTTTGTCCAGACCCGATATATCACTGAGGCGGACGGAGGCTTATGCATCACGACTCCGACATTTATTCAGAAATTCACTCGCATCAAAGCTTGAACGCTCACTGCAAACTGCATCTTTCAATCCAGGCCAGTGGGGGCATCGCTGCAAACTGATGTGGCACTAGCACCTAGGGCTACAACAGAGACCTTGTGCCCAACCAAGTCAACAGAGGTGCTACCGTAAATCACAACTTCCGGAGAACGTATGCCCACGGATCATCAGAATCCATCTGTACCCAATTAACACTGAGACAATCACCGATAAAGCGACCATACACGCTTCTCTTTCCGCAGCCGAGCAAGTAGAACCCGGCTCTCTTGTAAACGAGAATGAAGATATCTTGGCACACCAGGCAAAGAATTGGTTAGTGCTAGGGGTGTGCGAATACTCGAATATACGAATTCGAATCGAATAGAAAGTTCCCGAATAATTCGATTCGCGAATCGAATTCCTAGTATTCGGTTACTCGAATATTCGATATATTCGGCCAAAGACGCGCGGTGGGCGCGGAGCAAACAAAAAATCAGTTTTTTCTTCCGATGTAAGCGCCGTGATGTTAGACAGACCATGCGAGAAACACCTCTCGGTCCGACCATTCCACAAAAATCTAACGCACAGGTTAGAAAACAGAAAAGTAACGAACGCCACAAACTTTATAGCACGAAGATTTACTCACGATCGTGACACAATCTACCCTTGAATCACAACCGAAACATCCCGCTTGCGCCGCTTCGAGAGAGGAATTGTTGGGAAACCGGAATTCCGCGCCAAGCCTAATTCTTTTCACGAGTAAAACTCCTCGTTTCAAATTGAAGCGCCGATGTAAAACACACTTTCCGCACTCGCAGAAATTGTCTACTGCACCACTGCACGATCACAGAAAGAAAACCAACATTACCACGCCGGCGAAACCAACCGAGTTTTCATCGTCGTTCTTTTGGAACCGCAAATTCTGATTCCGAATCAGAACAACTCGGTTGGTTTTGCCGACGTGGTAACGTTGGTTTTCTTTCTGTGATCGTGCAGTGGTGCAGTAGCCGATTTCTGCGAGTGCGGCAAGTGTGTTTTACATCGGCGCTTCAATTTGAAACGAGGGGCTTTACTCGTGAAAAGAATTAGGCATAGCGCGGAAGAAACGAAACGGAAAAAATAGTGTGCCTAGATTTGAGAGGATTTCCAACAGCTCGATAGCCGGGTTTGAATTACGAACTGCAAGAAGGTGCCGAAAAGGCGAAAGCGTCGGTCGGGTTCGGGCAGGCTAGAGCACTATATAGCTCCTACGGAGCAGAGTAGCGCAATCCTTTGAACCCCGTGTTTTGCCGACAACATGGCCGACAGAGCGGCTCGGCGCGAGTCACGTGGTACTCAGG